AGCATATTTTAGTCATTAAATGAGTGAGCCATCCAAGTGTCCAGAGTGAGTTACAAAATAACCGAAAAGAAGAAAATTCTTAGTTCTTGAACTAAATAAATGATAAAATAGCAAGGGTGGAAAATAACTATTGCCGGTAGTGCCCTTACTGCTGTATTCGAGTAGTTTTTTTTTCACATACTTGGACTGTTAAAAATCAGTGATTCAACTTTGCTTTAAAGGCCTTGCTCACCCACGCAGCTGTTTCAATTACTCTGGCTGAATAAACCTCTAGTTAAGTGGAAGTTTGGTGAAGCTATGATGGCAAGATGCATGATTTCATCAAACTCTATGTAGTACAAAATCACAATAACAGTGTAATCTATAAGTAGAATGGAAGTAATCCTAATACTCAAGTAGGGCTGCAACTAACAACTTTTTTCCAAATCGATTAATGTGCAGATTCTTTTTTTTTTTTTGTCAATAAAATATCAAAAAATAGTGGGAAAATACCTTCTCATTTACGAAACTGAAGAAAGGCCAATATTTTGTCGTAATTGTAATATTAAGGATAGAAAATATCAGCATACATGTCAGCCATTAAACAAGAAATTCCAACTTGTTTGTTTTATGTTTGTGTTTGTTGAAAAAATGTTTTATAAAACATTTCAGACAGTATTTTGTCGTCAGATTTTTTTAAATCCTCAAATATTGATCTTATCAAATAGTTCAGCTGTACTTCTAACTGTACTGCTTAAATGATTTGGGTTACATTCTGCATTCTGTTTCTTTTGTTTTCTTTGCTGCTAAATAATATTAAATGTCATAACATTGTTTCTGTGAATGCAGAAACCTCATATAGTTATAGAAACAAAACTGAATGAGCTCATGAAGAAGGCAGTCAAAATGAGACAGTGAAGTGGGCTTACTATTGGGTTTTCAGCCACAGTTGCCTTCATTTCTCCACGTTCCTCCCTCCAGGCATGAACAACCGTGAAGTGTTGGAGCAGGTTGAGCGAGGCTACCGGATGCCGTGCCCGCAGGACTGCCCCACGTCCCTGCACGAGCTCATGGTGCAGTGCTGGAAGAAAGACCCGGAGGAGAGGCCCACCTTTGAGTACCTGCAGGCCTTTTTGGAGGACTACTTCACTGCCACTGAGCCTCAGTACCAGCCGGGGGATAATCTCTGAGCACGCTGCCTTTCATCTCATGTCATTTCACTGGCATTCCACTAGAGGGAGCCAGACTCCACCTGTTCTCTCTCTCATCCTGTGGCTGTGACGATCTTAAAAGCTCATCGACTGACTTCTTGACTTCCAAGCTTCATACAAACAGGGACGGTGCAGCTCTGACAGCATACTGACTATCAAATCAATTCAAAGGATGTTTTGGAGGGGGGGCGCTGAGATGACTGAAGAGTTAAAAAATGACTGCCATGGATGAACGAGATGAGTTGTGTTGTGTAACTTGTACGTAGTGTAAATATAAATTGCTTGTTTACTTATCTCTGTTTTGTTTCATTTTATATTACTTTTGATATTTTGGAAATGTGTGGATTTTTTTTTTTTAATCCAAGGTCTAAGTAATTTCAGATTTACGGCTCGTAGAGAAACGTGTGAGGCTCACAGTTGGTAACAAATCGTGACATAATAATTGTAGGAATGGTAATAGTTAGACATCGTGGACCAGGTATCTCGGAAGGTTTTTCTGGAAGTCCACTGACCTTTTTTACGAGGTTAATATAACAATACTGTTCTCCTCTTCTCAAGGAACTTAGATGTACTATAACACCTGTTCTTGCCTTTTCATGTTTAGTAATATTCTTATAATGTAAGGGAATGCCTTCATGCTTTCTACACACTAACTTAGTGCATCATGGACTCTTCCACCCAAACCTGTATGCCATCTGCACTAATATTAAGTGCATTCATCGCATTTCAGCTTCAGCCAATGATTTTTAGATTGGCTTAAAGTAACTTTTAGTTCCTGCTTCTTGTAGTTGAAAAGGAGGCTGACTTCCTCTCCAACTGCAACCATTGTTTGGCTGACTGCTTATTATACTGGCAATATTTTAAAATGTATGTTGCATTATTGTATGGCAGCAGGCTGTGTAAGAAATTCTGCATCGTCTTTTCGCTTCAGCAGCCAAACAAACAAACAAACTGCCACTCACATGACGGGAAATGAAGGATGCATACCTGTCTTTGTCCCTCCATAATGTGTTTCCGGAGATAACATGTTGTTTACGAGACCAAACATGTTTATTTCTTTGTATTATTTTGCTTAACATTTCGGCCAGTCTTATGTGACGTTAAGATTACATAATTATGTGATATTTCCAGGAAAATCTGTAGCTCTGGATGACATTTTATCATCATGAGTATCCAACTTCTCTCTGTGGGGGAGAAGGTGCATTCCAGGACTAGACACCATTTCTGTGTGTATTTAAGTTTCTTTTCACGGGTGGAAAAGTGAGCAAAAAGTAGTTTTTGAATCACTTTGTTTTACCCTAATTCTGTAGATATACAGAAAATGTTTTTGGTCTCTGCATTATTTATTGTCTCTGTCTGTTACTTGTACACAACTGGTTTTGAAATAAACAATCTTGCCATCATTGTCCTGTGGACTTCCATACAATTAACACTGAACACGTAACTTCTGGTGTGAGATCTTACCTGTTAACTTCCTTCCTCCAAAAAACACACCAGGCTTCATCTTTTCTAACACCAGGGGAAAACTGACATCGGAAATCAATCACTTAAAAGCAAATGGACTCTTAACTGTGGTGTTTGTGGAGTGACTCATTGTGGTTTTCCCTCAGGCTGAATTCAACACTAAGACGACATGACTGAACTCAGGATATATGCAAATCACATACTTGGTCTGCCCAGAAACTGGAGAGCAGTTTACCGCAAACAGCGATGATTAATTTAATACCTGTTAAATTAATACAATTGTTTCATCCTGGTTTGAGCTTTTATAATTGTTTGCATATTTCTGTTCTGATAACATTCAACTGGAATTTTGTTATAAATAGTAATATATATATATAGCTCTCTTAACCACATGAGAGCTTTATTGAATTATAGCTCTTATCTTATTGTTACTCCCATGATTGAATAATAGTCCTTCATTCATCATTTTAACAAAACTTTTTTTGATCAGTAAATTCCTTAGAATAAGACTCTAACCTTCCTGGCTGATCTGGCTGAGCAACATAAACACTAGATTCTTGGCTCTGATTGGACGCAGCTCAAGCAGTGAAGAATTTGCATATAGCAGGCTGTAACACACACAAGCCTCTGCCCCCACAGGAGTTTAAAGAATCCAGCAGAGAACAGATAAGTCATTGTTACTCTTTCTTTTTATGCCGAGTCCTCTTGTCCTGGTATGTACAAAAACCTTTTATTCAAGAATAATTTGATATATATAACTATATATATATATAATAAGAATAATCCACTTAGATTTTGCTAGAAAATGTCTTTCTGACAACTTGAAAAGAAGGTAAGTAACATTTTGTTTTGCTTTGTCTGTTACTTGCAGGACTATACTGGAGTAATCTGGTTAAGATGGATAAATCTAAAAAAGTGTTTTTCAACACAAATAAATCAGAAAATTCTCCTCGACTTTTGAGCCCTGAAGTCGCAGTAAACCAAATATTTCATGCCAATCCACAGCGTGCTACATTCATACCAAGCTGTTGCATGGGTGCAGATTATTTCTGCCAAAAAAACCCATGTAGAGTTGGCCAAGTGAATCAAGAGTTTAGTCAGCCTGCTCCTGCTGCACAGCGTACAGACCTGATGCCGCACAGAGAGCCAGAAGGTAGAGGATCAACTCCTGCCAGGATGACTCTCCATCATCAACCACCTGATGCCTGTTGCCCTCATCCTGCAGAAACCAGGGAGGGTGACAAGAGAGGAGAGTTCTGTTTATGGGACTATGGACCAAACCAGTGTGGAACAACAGGGCCTGCAAACAGAAGTGTAACTAGGTTAGGAATACAACCAAAGAATTGAGTAAAATTTGTATTTGCTTTAATGTTTATATGGGGTAAAATCTATTTTCTTATATTCAGGGAGGAGGATGAATACAATTCTCAGCTTCAGAGTGATGAGGAGGATCTTGAGCTTCCTTTGCCGCTAAGATCTGATGATGAGTTGCAGCACTACAATCCCTTTGTACCTCCTTACCAGTACATGCACCACAATGGTAATGGAAGTATATTTAATTATAAAAGATGATGCCATTAGCAAATTAATAATTATTCTTCAATTATTTAGTGAAGTATAAGTAGCAACACAACAGTGTCACAAAAGTAAGTATTTAATTAGTGAATTCCAAATCCTACACATATTCTTGTATTATGTGCAAAATGTACTTATAGTATTAAAAGTAAAAGTAGTCCTTTCAGAATTGCATTAATGTATATTTTTGATTATTATTACTGATTTAAAAGTACTTAATGTTTTGTATTTTGATGTTCTCTCTATACTAATGGCGTAATAGAAAATGGGAATAATTCAAGTACATAAAACTGTACAATAAAAACTGTATTTTTATTATTATGTAAAAAACATTACTTTTATTTGGCTGATCAGTAGGGTCTATTTGTGCTGGCAACCTCCTCCTCTCTATCTGGTGGCTTTTTTAGGCACTTTCTGCCTATCTGGACAGATTTGCTGTCACACAGAAATGTTTAAACTATATCCACAGACCCTCATCATACAATGGATGTCAGATATTATCACTCTGCAGGAAAAGGCCATTACAACTTCAATCCAGTTAACAGATACCCACCTCAGCCAAGTTACCACTCTGCTCCTTACCAGCACAAAGGACACTGGGATGACCATCAAAACTGGTAAAAAAATAAAAAAATAAAATGAAAAATGAAAAATGCAGTGAGCCAAGGCTGCAACAGTCTGTACTTTGCATATTACACAGACCCATCACATGTCAGCACTGTTAAACAGACAATCCTTTGTTTGTTTGTTTTTCTCTCTGCTTCAGGCTGCAACGTCATGATAACTTTATGAATGACGGCATGGCTCAGGGAAGTGTCTCAGTAAACGTGCCTCAGTTCTCAGTCCCCCCTGTGCAGGGTGTGGCACAGGTCAGCGTGATGAGCCCAAGCTCAGCTGGAGCAGAGGCGTCCATCTCACATCCACATGAGAAAAGAAGAACAATCAGTCTGCCCGACGTGTGCCGTGAGTCACTTTATCCACTCATTTTGAAAAGAAGGTACATATGTTTTCATAGTGTGGTTTATTTTGGCAGCTCAATGAGTGTTTGGGAAAAAATAATTGCTGTGAGAACAAGAGGTAATTATATAAGGCAATTAATAGTATTTATAGCCTTATCAGCCTTTAATTTTGAATTACGTTCAGCAGTGTTGATTCAATTTTATTATTATTATTTGTGAGGCTGTTATGTGGTGTTGTATTGGATTGCAGACATTGTAATGTGTTTGGTACAGGGACAAAATATTAGAAACATTTTTTATTAAATATTTACAATAATTAAATTAAATACACTTCATACTACCACAAAGGACACATAGCAGTAAAGTCTCAATTAAAACTTCAGGACAGGTCAATACGGGTGTTTCTATTTTTGTAGAATGTAAAATGGAACCAGTTACAAAAGGAAAACATCTGAAATTAAATTTAATGTTATGATCTCTTCTCTTCTCAGGAAACGTTTTTATAACTTATTCTTTGGACGTTTCTACAGAGATAGTCCCTTTTGTAGACTTCCTCACAAAGCAAGGTTTTCGAGCAGCTGTAAGCTTCATCCTTCTCACTCAAAAGACAGATATTTAAAAAAAAAAAAACATCACATTTGACTCACTTACATCCCTGAATTTAATTTCACAGGTTGACTTATATGACAACCCCATCAGGCGCATGGATATCAACAAGTGGAAGGACAGTTACCTGGAAGATGTAAGTTTGCTATATATTATATATTGTTATATTATCAAATAAAGAGAACATCTGAATACATTTAATAGTAGTTTAATAAATATTCCATATTGCATGCTTTGTATCTGTTTTAACTTCACACTTTTGTATTGCAGTTCTCTTTCCTGGCAGTAAATGTGTCTAAAACATATTTTTACTAACAGCCTTCAAACCTGATCATCATCGTCATCAGTCCAAAGTATAAAGCTGACATTGAAGGATCTGTTGTGGATAGCCATGGTCTACACACTAAATATATTCACTCCATGGTGAGAATGTATCTGCTCTTTTAGTTTAAATGAGACATGATTCTGAGTGGACTAACAGGTACTTCAATTTTAAATCAAACTTTTCCAGATGCAGAATGAATTCATCCAGCAAGGCAGCTTGAATTTCAGATTCATACCGGTTCTCTTCCTCAGTGCATCCCAGGTCAGAAAGAATTTTTGTTTAATAACTAAAAGCATTTTTTACTCTGAGGTTTTGCAGTTACTCATATTTTTTGTACTCTTTTGTCATTTCCCAACATTTTTCTCCGTTAAACCTTTTTCTTCTGCAAAAAACCCCCATGTATATGCAGAAACACGTCCCAAGTTGGCTTCAGAACACACGTGTTTATCGCTGGCCGCAAGACACAGAGGATTTAATACTGCGGCTGCTCAGGGAGGAGAGATATGTTCCTCCTCCTGTACCTATGGAGCTCACCCTCATCATCAGGCCTGTGGCCCCCAGCTCTGCAACTACACTGTGAAGACACACCTGTATTCATGCTTGTGCATGTTTCTCAAAGATTTGTGCAGCCTGTGTATTTTAAAATCTCATAATGTATCCATTCTAAGTCATAAGTCATGTCAAGATGTTTCATGTCTATATGAACAGTTGTTTGTTTGACAGATATCAATAAAGTTTTCCCTGTCATATTCAAGCTATGCAGTGTCTCTTGGTCAGTCCACCACTTCTACATCGAGACTGAAATATCTCAACGACTACTGGAAGAATGAAACTTTTATAAAACCATTCCCCAGAGAATTAATTCTAATGACTTTGATGAGCTTCTCATCAGGTTGACATTTGTGGTTTTAACATGAAATATGGTAGCCTAAAGACATTCATGTCTCCCTCAGGATGAATTTAAATCACTTTGTGATCCCTTAACCTTTCAACTAGCACCATGATCCAATAAGTAGGTTCTACTTTGATTTAAACTGACATTCCCATCAGTTTCCCATGTACTAACTAAAGTATGCTAAAGTAAGATAGTGAACATGTTAAGCATCATATCTGCTCAGCAAGTTAACATTGTCATTGTGAGCATGTTAGAATGCCGTTGTTATATATATATATTTTTTTGGTTCTTTGGTGAAGTCGTTTATTATTTTGGAAACATGTTTATTTTGAAGCTGCAACCTAAAACCTAAAAATGTGAGAACGTAAAAAGAAAGTGATAAGTAATAAACAAAATAAACCACAGAAGCACCAGCGAGGAAGAGGCCATAACGGAGGATAACGTTTACTTGAGCTGCTGGATAGTGAACCTTTTTAAGGACTGTTTCCATCTGTGTTGTTGTCCATTCCTCATCTTGGGCACCTGATTTGTTCCAGTTTAGTGGACAGATTACCCCACCAGTAGGGGTGCCCAGCTCAGCCAACTGATCTTGCAGACATCCCTTCGACCGCCAAAAAAGGCCTGCCAGAGCAGCTGGTGTGCAGAGCTCCAGCTAAGAATAACCCGGACCTTCTGGGGGATAAAGTTACCTTGAAGCCACCCTGTGCTGTGCTCTGACCTATACCCATGTGAGGCACCAATAACACTGGGTGGGATATTCTGTCAGTTTGCCCTCACCCTACCCAGCCCTGTGCTTAGCTTGGCTCTTTGCTTCCCCTGCGTCGCTTTGCTCTGCCCCACCATCCCTAGACCCCCCTCTGCAATGCTGCCACACCGGCAGCTCCAAATTCCCCAACCCCTGTAAAACTTATAGTTTATCTTCAATTTTCCATTTTCTTAATTTTTCTTTTAATCTTGGAGAAGTTCAACCTGTGGATTACATGGTTCAGGAAACAAGACTGTGGAAATGGAATAATTGAATAACTGGGACTTTTTTTTTTGACAAGTGAATGCTGATTGGATTCATACTGAAGCTGTGATTTTCCATTCACTTCTGCATGAGGAGGCTTTGCCCCCAATTTAAAGGATAATACCTGAAATTGTCTCCATATCACCATGGCTGAAGGTAGGACTGTTACACCTGCATCAGCACTGAAATTAACAACTATTTCTGCTTGTTACAATATAAAAAAGCCTAAATAATATATGTAAGAAATAAATGTTTTGATAGGGTGTGTCCTCCAAGGAAAATGTGTTGAAAGTTGGTTGCTATAAATACAGGATATCATGTAGCCAGAGTATTAGTATTGCTCTCCTGTGACAGACATGGCTGTTGCTGGGGCTGACCTCTGGTTTTCCAACAACACTCTATCTTTGACATATAGGAATAAGCTTATGTGACCTGTTTAAATTAGTGGTATTTGACAAGCAAATCTTTTGTTTGATGAACCTCAAGGCCTTACATGGGTTAAGCAATAACAGGCAGTTTTCATGTAGATTCAGTATACACTTGTGATGAAATACTGACACCACTTGTCTATCCGGAATAATTCCGCTGACTGAGGGGACCGTTTTAAGTTTTCATAACCCAGCATTTGTATATGAGGAAGTGAATCATGAGTCAGGCATGCTCAGAGCTCATTCACAGTTAGAAGGTGTCTCTAACACCTTGACACCCGTTCCAAGTACATCAGAGTTGCTACACACACACTCTGTTAGTGGATGATTGCGAGGATATGGTATTAAATGTCACAAGAATTTTCCACTGTACTAAACCGGTGGGAATCATGTGCATATATGTCTGGATTACCTATCTGATGAAATGAGAATGACAGATCTTCTGATCTTTAATCGGACAAGATGTTACCAACTGAAATCTTATAAAATGTATTTAGATCAGGACACAACACTATATATATACAAAATTTACTACTGCTAAATGTTACACCCGACCATAACATCACAGACCTAAACATGTGGGCGCTACGGTCTACCAGACTCCATTGACAAAACAATTTTACAGACCATCATAACATCAGGACTTCATTCAGACTGGACAGAAACAAAATAAAACTCTGTCTTTGTTAGTCTTTTAACTGTTCCGACAATCACCAACTGGTTTGGTTGAAATAACTCCTTAATTCACAGACGTAGATGAGAAAAACAACCATTTCAGTCACTTTCCTTAGTTGCACACTGAAGAACTAACATGCATTAACATACATGCACAGCCAGACTGGAGAAGTAAACAAGGCACAGACAAACCGGGATAGCAAGACAGGCGGAGGGAGGTTGACGTAATCATATGTTCATGAGACCATTACTCCACTGTATCTTTCCATTGCAAATCGTTGTTTGCTGCTATATATAAATGATATATATATAACCTTTAATCGATTTAATCAAATTCACATAATCCCTCTGCATCAGGAAGTGAGTTTACATATTGATGCAACACACAGACATCTCATAAATGTCAGACACACCGTCTCCGTATAAAGTTTAAATCCTTTGATCACAAAGGAAATATTCTTCACCTGCCTGTTTAAGCTGCAGTGTGTTATAAATCATTGTTTATCAATTACTGAACCGCATCCTCAATTAAAGGCCCTGAAAACATATTTTCTCCATAGACTTTTTACTATGAGCAATGTGGTCTGATGTGAACATACAATTTTCTGTTGTTGGAACAGTTTTGATTTTTGTTTTTTATCTTGATCTGACCTGGGTCAGATTCAGTTTGAACATAGTGGTCTCTTTCAGTGCACCACTCAATCAAAAGACGATGACAATTGTGTGATTGTTTGCTGGTGTTGCCAGCATTGTCAATGAAATGTGATCAAACCACACCTGGACAATGTTTTTTTTTTTTTACATAAACAAGCATTTTTCATTCATAAAAATATTATAGTAAGTAAGTAAGTAAGTAAGTTTTTATTTATAAAGCACAATTTAAACACAGCTTTATCACTACAAAGTGCTTGTACAGAATAAATTCCTATGAATTCCCTATTATGATAGAATTGTGACCAAGATATGCACTGAGTATGACATTTTACTATTAAAAAATAAATATGTCAGCTCTCTCTGGAAGACAAATATTTAATATTTTGATGCATTTCTATGATTCACGGTGCCCCGGTTTGATTCCAGCTCGTGGCCCTTTGCTGCATATTGTCTGCCCACCCTTCTTATGTGTCTTAAGCTGTTGATATCCAATAAAAGATAAAAAGTTAATAGTTTAAATAATTGGTATTTATGTGCCATATATTGTCCCTGTTGGTATATTGGTATTAGCTTTAATAATTACGTATGTGCTTTGAATGTGAAGCTACACTGTTATATATAGTAATAGTATATAGTTATTTAACATTATTTAGTAAAAGGACAAACCAAACATCTTCAGTGAAGCAGAAAGTTAAACCAAGCAGCAAAGGTTTGATCAGAACCAGAATGTTTTGTTGAGTTCTTCGAATGACTTTAGTATTTTTTTGGTTTTCCACATAAAGGAGCCTCTTCCGCAGCCACTGGGTCCAGTGGAGCAGCACCACAGACGGGGGCTCTCAGGTCCAAAGGTCTAGGGCTCCTCGGGAAGCTGAAAATGTCTGCGGAGCTGCTGATTGCCCTGGCTGCTCTCCTGTCCTGGGTGGTGGTGGGAGTGGTGATGTTTGATTTTGTGGAGTACAAAGCAGTCCCTGGTAGGTCACAAATACCTAAAAATGTATCTTTTCAGAACTTCAATCATCAGACATGCGTAATTACCACTATGTCTGTTATTATCCTCAGACATTGAGCAAATCATCACTGACCCTGTTCAAGCTGTAAATGACGCTGTTGATGAAGTATCCAGTCTGCTCAATAAATTTCAAGGTACATAAGAGATACAATCTCGTGCAAGCCACATGTTTTTAGTCGTGTTGAAGCAGGTATCGTAATATTTGACTCTTATTTCTGGGCCCCTAGAATGTGCACCTGATTTAAGTGACCCCACGTCTGCTGTTACTTACGCTGCTGAGGAAATATCGGAAGCAAAAGATGGATTTGTTCGCTATTTTTCAGATGAGGAAGGTATGAAAACACACTCATACTCAACCAGGAGAAAAGTTTAAACATACATGTGATATAACTGTGACTAACAATCTCTCTCCAAAACCCCAGGGAACTTCTACCTCAGCTATGTTGACCCTGTGGTCATCGGTAGACAAGCTTTCCACTCAACCAATGATTTCATGAGTGGCGTTGTGGGCTCCTTCAGGGATACGCTGTGTGCTATTGTGGATACTGTTTTGGACACTATATTGGATATAAATACAGGTATGTATTTCTTATTGTAATACCAATCTCTGACTATGGAAATTAATTTAATTTAAAGAAGACTAATCGATGATTGTTGATGATGATTTGATTAATTTAAGTAAAACTGTACTGCTTGTAACAATTCTCACCCCGTTTGATTATTAATAAATTAATTCTTACCTTACAAATATCTTTGGTTTTCTCAGGAAAAACTGACCTTAGCTACATTGACCCTGTGGTCATAGGCAGAGGTGTCTTCAGTGTTATTAATGAGCTTATGTGTGGAGTGGTGGGCTACATCCGGGATGTGCTCTGTGCCATCCTGGACACTATTCTGGATGTAGTGAAAGGTATTTACTCATTTAACAACTATTTAATGTGTAACCTCTTAACAGCTTAAAATGACTATTGAACACAGCATACAGTATTGATTTGACATATTTTTCCTTTATACTTGTTTGTTTTTCTCAGGAACCACAGATATTAGCTTCATGGACCCTGTGGTAATTGGCAGAGATGCCTTCAGTGTTACTGATGACACTGTGAGTGGAGTAATGGGATACAGCCAGGACGTGCTCTGTGCCATCTTGGACAAAATACTGGATATAACAAAAGGTACCTGCTTCATTTTTTAACCGTTGTGTTATTTGTGGCGCAATATGTATGTGTTGTTGGATCTTTATCTGTTGCCTAAATTCACTAAATCAACATTATTGCTCAATAACTGTTTGCTGTTTTTGTAGTAAAAACTATGTATTAGTCTTTAACTGTCTTTTCAACTGTATAACAAGAAACTATTGATTTCTGTTGGATGAAGTCAGTGGACTTTGGCCTGAATGTATGTTGTTCTTCTCAGGAAACACTGACGTTAGCTTCATTGACCCTGTAGTTGTTGGCAGAAATGTCTTCAGTGTTACTAATGACTTTGTGAGTGGAATAGCAGCATACGTCCAGGGTGTGCTCTGTGCAATCATGGATGTAATACTGGACACAGCACAAGGTATAGTATCTGTCATGGCTTTTAACCTTCACCTGTGTGTGCCTAAACTAAACTGAAGCCTGCAAACTGCAGTTTTCATTTAGACTTTTCTGTTGATTAGGCATCCAGGATGCTGTGGGATTCAGCCCAATGTCAGCTCTGAAGGGAACAGCAGAAATCATCACAGAACAGATAAACATGCTCGTGAGCTACGTCTCCACAATGCTGGTCGGCGAACAAGGTCTGCTTTAACATATGATGACAGATAATTTACATATCAGCTACATCACTGTGGCTGGTGGCACTGTGTTTATATTTGTGATTAATAAGTGATTACCTATACTTGTCTCTGAACTAAGAGATGTTAATGTAAGAAACACTAAACAATCTGAAGTTGTATTTTGTACAGTAGCTTTACCTCACTTTCTGGTGTGCTGATGTTTCAGGGATCATGCCTGAAGTTTCCCTTGACCCCATGAAAGTTGTGGAAGATGCCGTGTTGGAGTTCACAGACAAGAAAGATTTGTTATTGGCTTACATGTCAAGCATGGTTGTTGGTGAACAAGGTATGTTGCTTCAGTACTATTGATTGGGAAACATAAAAATCCATAAAATATACTGATACCGGTGATTATTTTACCATATTTTCTTCTCTTGTTTTAGGTGAACCTGTTGCCACACCGGTTGTAAATATAGTAACTGAAAAAGGTTCCACTTTTTATTAGAGTTTTAATACATATAAAAGCATCTTACTAGCCTATGGCTGCAAACTAAAATGTGTCTTTTTGTTCTTTTTGTTTAGATGAAACTGTAGCTCCTCCATCTGATATACATTTAGTAAAAAGGAAAGGTAAGTAATGACAATATTTTATTATTTTTTCATGCTGTAACATTTATTCTTAAAAAATAGTAATATACAATAATAATTGTCTTTTATTATCTTCTACGAAATGTAGGTGAATTTCTGCCACCTTTTGAAAAAGGTAAGAAAATACCACCATTTATTGCAATACACTATAACGTTTATTTTGGACAGGTGCGATGTGTGTTGCCAGCAAATAGTGGCCTTTTGTGCATGTTTGCATTGATTTTTGTTTTTCTGACCACTTTGTATGAACTGGTCTCAAGTCTGCCTCATGTCATGTTCAGTGTAATACAGCAAGCCTGAAGAACGATGAAACTGTATGTCAGTTTTGTTTGAATAAACTCCATTTTGCACTCATTACGGACTACGGCATGAACAAATATGCATCATAACCACTGTATACTTTTACTGTAATAAATGTCTATATGATTTGGTGACTGCATTTCTCCCTCTGTTTGTCATACTGACCGTTTGTTGGATGTAACATGTTATTGAACTCTGCATTCAAGTTGGTTTTGTTCCAGTCATCATAAATTCTTCTGATATATTGAGCATGAAAAATCATCTTTAATATGTGTCCTTTAGAGTTGCATTCCTCTGTTGACTTCTCCTGCATTGCCCAAGCATCTTCTGTACAACTGACTGACTGACCAGCTGCCACTTGTATTTCAACAATTTAAACATCTGTGATATCTGGATTGTTCATACTGGATGACGTGTGTTTTCGTGTGGAATATTTCATTTTTATCTTTGCATGGAATCATACACCACATGTTTCAATGGTTAGCCTTCAGAATATTATTTATTGCAATATTATTTATTAATGGCTGTACCAATTTTGGGTAGTAATATTTGGGGAATTGATGATAAGAGGAAAACAATGCAATTAAAGGACAAGTCTTGGAATAGTCTATATCTTTCTTTTTGTCAACAAATCACAAAGACTAAAACTAACAATTAATTGATCCAACAAGTCTTGTATGTGTGTTGATATGTCCTATTTCTTCGTGCCATCATAGACAAGGCATGTTGATTGTAATGTCACACTGATAAAAATGGCAATTCTTTAATTAAAGCATAGTGTAAATCCCACATTAATAAAGTTTCACATGCTCTCCTGACAGGCTCTTTAAGATGATTGAACTGATTGTCTTAGACAGTTAGCATTTTTCTGTATTTTGAGCTCCTCATTAGCTGGGACATCAGCAATTATTGGCTACTTGACAAATGATTTAGTTGTGTGTTTCTGCAGTTAATGCCGCGAGATGATGACCTTGATCATCAGGAATTCCTCATCAGGAATTCACTTCCTCTGTGAAAGTAAGATTAGTCCACCAGCTGTCACAAATTGCCATAGAATGAACTGGGTTTCCTAAATACTTTTATGGGGGACTAACTCTAGTTAGTCACACTATAAACAAATGTAGAGAAACCTGCTAGCCTAGCAAAATTAAGGCTATAATCAACCCATAATGTGAGACAATGCAGTATTTACTTTTCTTTTAAGTAAAGTTTGCTAAGAAGTACCCAGCTGTTTCAGGAGGTTACTGAAAATTAAACTATATTATACTTACATGTGTAGCAGGAAGGAACTTCAAATGTTAATTTCATTATACCTTGTTTGTATAATGATAAATAAATATATCTGTGGCACATTTTTAAAGATTTACTTCAGTAGAAATAAATGGGCTTGGGGATAAGTCGTAAAGTATTGAGAGACAAACTGCTGCATTGTTGGTTTTGGTCATTTCCTTTGATTTGTTGACAGTAAGATTAATTTTAATGATAAAGCAAAATGGGGAAATGAATGCATTCAGCATGTGGTGTGTGCTATATAATGTTATAAATGGTCATTGTCATTGTTCCCATTTCACCGCATCACTCTGTACCTTAAAACAAGATTGGAGCTGCATTTCTGTGTAAAAAGCCAAAGCTGTGAAGGTCAGATAAGACAGGTCACATGAGTTGATGATACAGTTACAGAAATTATGAACGCTGCCAAAGACGAAGCTGCTTCTGCTGCAGAGTTAAGTGAGGCCCCAGACTCAAAGACTGAGGAGGAGGAAGTTCCCACTGAAGCTACCAGTAAAGCAGATGAGAAAGAGGCAGAGGAAGATGATGGTATTCACACGGTTTTTATTTAATAGTCACATTCATTAGTCAGATTGAAGATACAGTAAGAGGCACTAAACTTTTTACTATCACATCACTAGTGAAACATGTCGACCTTGTTGAAGAAACAGAGCATGAACCATCACTGGAGGATGAGGGAACCCTCGACGATGACAGCAAGAAGGAACACAAAAAGGAAGAGGCAGAAGAAGTTACTGAAGAAGAGGAGAAGGAGGGGGAGGAGAAAGAAGATGAGGACGGTGATGGTACAGAAGACGAGGAGGAATTAAAAACAGACGATAATGAAGAACAAAAAGAGGGAAATATTAAAATTCAAGAGGTTGAGGTAGAAGAAGAGGAGGAAAAGGAGACCAAAGCTGGAGAAGTTTTTGTAGAGGAGGAAGAGAAGGAGGAGGAGGAGGAGGAGGAGGAGGAGGAGGAGGAGGAGGAGAACAAAACAGAA